GTTCTGCCAAACTTCTCACTCCCAAGCTCCTCAGCCTCCTGCACACTGTAGTAACCTTGGTGTGGTAGTTCTGGGAGTTCTTGATCGTATCCCAATCAGACATAGTCAAGTACTGTGGCACATTGATCCTCTGAGGTTTGTATGTGTGTGAATAGTCTTCTCTACCCTTCTCCCTGGTCAGGCTGCCATCAATGGCAACATTCACAATGCCTTTCATATCAGAAGTCAAATTTTGATCATCATGCAAAGCCTTTTGAATCTGCAAGGCATCTGTTGGGGAAAGACACATGGTGTCCAACTTGTAAGTCACATTCCTCAGCAAAGTAGATTCAATTTGCTCCATGTTCTTAGCACCATTTTGCTTCTTGAAGTGAAGAAGCTCCCCAACATCTTTGATCTCAGTGATGATATTGTCCACAGACCATGTCATGATGCACACAATGGCAAGCTGTGGCACAAGTTGTGCAACTACTATGATGATCCAAAATGCCTACCCTAGGGTGGCAACAATGTGCATGCCAATACCACATCACAAAAGCCCAATGGGCTTGTCATGCAAGATATGTCAAAAGCAAGATATTACCAATGTTTGATACATGGTGAGCAATTGTCATGCATAAGCCCAGTGGGCTAGACAGGGACACCAGCAAAAGTCTAAAAGGCTTCAAACCATATCCAGCAAAAGCCCCATGGGCATGATGATCAAGGCATGCTGGCTTCAGTACAAAGAAGGCAAAGAAAGCATGCTGGCTCCAACCCTAACACCCATTCATGTGGAAGCTGCAGTACACATACCATGAGGCAGTCACAAAGCTGACTCTTCAGCAATCTAGATACAAGTCAAATCAAAAGCCCTGAGGCTTGATCACTGCCAACCAAGAATTGTGGCTAGATTCAGAAATATCACAAGCCCAAAGGCTTGACACATGTACAAACTGTCAAAAGCCCAGAGGCTTGATGCATGTGCAAGCTTAGCCTACCAACATGACACAACCCATGCAGCAACACTTGTTTTTTTGCTTTGAATTATCTTTGGCATATCAAGACAAAGGTCTGTACTGATGCCACTGTATGTAGCTTTGCTCCAAAAAGTCACAATGTGGGATACCTGCATATGTCCACTAGTCACAACTGGCAATTCAATTTCACAATGACTTCATAGTAATCAAAGTGTCATAAATATATTGATTATGCAATGTAAATACAAAATTACTTGAACACATTTGAAAGCTAAATATAATTTCCAATGTTAGATTCTAAATTTAAATATTTCGAAATATGATCCTAAATTTGGATTCCAAATTTAGGTGCCTTAAAAAGTTGTTCTAAATTTGGATTCCAAATTTAGGTGCCCTAAAAAATGATTCTAAATTTGGATTCCAAATTTAGGTGCCCTAAAAAGTGGTTCTAAATTTGGATTCCAAATTTAGGTGCCCTAAAAAGTGGTTCTAAATTTGGATTCCAAATTTAGGTGCCCTAAAAAATAGTTCTAAATTTGGATTTCAAATTTAAATGTATTGATAAGCACTTGATAATATACTAATGAAATATTTGAATTTGGATTCCATTGAAATTACAATTAAGATATATGAGCATTCATATTAGTACTAAATATATAATGAAACAATCCATATGGATGCAGGAATTCAGTTTCAAAAACAATGTAGTTATGTATAGAATGATCCAATGTGTGTTGTATTTGATGAGAACAAACCAGTGTGACATGAACTCTGGTACCCACCTGGAGACAGGGAGCAACATTGCTCTTATCTTGATGAAACATCACAGGTGAAAAAAGGAATCTTCTCATATCAGTAGTTGTAGCGATCATCCATGCCAGTGTTGACATACATCCTCTGATGATCATCACAAAGATCTCTGAGTTGAGGATCCTCTGCAAGAAACCTGAGTGGTAAGAGAATGGCTGAATGGATTGGACCCACAAGTGGTACAAGCCAGGGCCTTCATGCATAAGTATAGTATCATAATACTTTACTATATTCTTTACATGGCAGTGTCCAATGTTCACAAAATCATTAATCAATATATATCCAATACATGATACAAGATCATTTGCTCCTATTCATACTGGTTATGACAAAACCCAAAATTCAGCTCTTTGTGTACAACAAGGTACTTGTTGGTCAAATAGGTTGCTCTCTGATAATTGCCTGTCCTATAGGCAACCAGCATGGCACATAACCGAGCTTTGGCTCCAGTCTTCAAAACAGGCTTTTCTGGTTTCCAAGGACCATATGTCTTTCCACCTCCACCCTTTGTACCCTCAGGGACAGGTGGGGGCCTGAGAACCCTGGTCCCTTCCAAAAAGTCTGGCTGGGATGGTGCTAATGGGATGGCTGCACTTGGTGCTGGTGTGGCTGGTGGTGTCATGGAAACATCATCACCAGGGGATGTTGCTGGTGTTGAACCAGTCACACGGGCCCTTTGCTGCATGCAGTATTCCCAAATACTCATGATCTTCATATTGGTGCATGCAGTCTCTGAGTTCCAGGGGCTGTACATGGTCTGTAGATCTTTGGACACCCAACCAATCACAGTGGCATTCTGCCATGCTGAGTCATCATGGCTGTTCTTGACAACTTCACTGGAAAGGAAATAGGTGTCAAAGTGAGCTGAATACCATAAGTATGCAGTCTTCCTGGTAGCCAAAAAATCATCATGCAAACCAGTACCTCCTTCCTGGGACTTCCAAAGAGGATGCTTGGCATAGAACCCATGACAGTGGTATGCCCCAAAGTAATCCACCACCCATAGTTGATCATCAGGGATCACAGAGTCCATGGAAGATTTTCCAAAGACAATGGTGTCACTCTCAGCTACCTTTGGGGGAGAGCATGGGTCCTTCAACCCTTTGGAAATCCTCTGTGCCACACCTTCAGCTGGCTTGCTGCCTGAAGCACTGGCCTTAGGAGGTGGTCCAGGAGGTTCAGCTGGCTTCCCAGCTCTGGCAATGGCAACCTGTGGAGCAGCTGGCCTGATAACAGGCTTGGGAGCAGCTGCCTTGGCTGCAGAGGCCTTTGCCATTGCACCAGGTTTGATGAACCTGGAACTGATCACCATGGCGGGCAGTGGGTAATGTTGCAAATGCAGATGCCATAGTAGTTTCAAAACCATGTATCAGTATCATGTTCTATGATAGGTTCATAAGCCATGTATATTCCTTCCTGGCAAAATGGCATGAGTGTGCAACCCTTTTGAGCACAACTGTTGATACCAGAATTGCTTACATCATGTTTCAAAAGCCTATTAGCTTAATGATCCTGATGACCTCATGCATCACACAAGCCTTCCTGGCTTTGTTTGACCTTAAGGTTTGCAGAAATGACATGCATGCTAGTGGTGATACATGTGCACAATTCAGTCATCAAAAGTATGAACATGCACACAATCCAACAGCATAAGCCACCAGGCTTGAATCATGCACAATGCAAGCAAGTGATTTGTTTGCATCAAAGCATAAGCCTGTAGGCTTGACTCATGCAACCCTCATGCAAGTCACTGAATTGACTTTGCAACCCTCAGAAGCCCTGGGGCTTGATTCATACAAACATGATACATAATTTGGCAGTGGTTATTCAAATCTCAAAAGCCAAGGGCTTGCTTCATGCAGGTCTCATGCAATAAAGTACAATGGAATTCTTAGCCTAATTGGATTCAATCAAACACTCAGATCAACCCAGACCACCCCCCAACTCCTTGTTTTTGTTTTCACAGCTGGCATTCAAGAATCTGTGTGATCAATCCTCTTGATCTTCCTTGCTACTTTTGGCATACTTGCCAGTTTGGGTGTATGCCCTTCTTTTGTCATTATCACCATCAGCACCCTTGGCATACATCCATTTGCAAAACACACCAACATTTTCAGCAGTGTAAACAATATGCAAATCTTCAGTCTTTTTCTTGCATGCTCTGATGAGCAATGACCCAAAATCAGGCAGTTCAAGGGTAATGCTTTCAGCTCCATCTACAGTGGAAGCTTTCTTCCTTCTCTTGGCAGTCTTGCTGGACTCTGCATCTTCTTCAAAAAGGTCATTTGCCTGAAACTGAGAGGACATCTTTTGAGCCCTCATCCCCAAAAGCTCAGAAAGCCCCTTGCTGCCTTTCAAAGTTGGCTGCTTGCCCACTGATCCTTCTGTCAACAAATTGCATAACCCATAGTTAGCTGTTACAATCTGGAGCCACTTGTGGTCACCACTGTCTTTGATCAATGGGCTTGGGATCAGCCACTTTTTGCCAGTTGTTGCAAAATAAATGTAATGTTGAAAGCCTAGCTCCACTTCAGACTCTTGCCCATCAGCCATGCCACTGATACACCAAAGGGGTTGGGCATAGCCAGCATTCAATTTCAATTGGAGCCAAAACTGCATGGTTGACATGGAAGTTTGCCAAGGGGATGCTGAATACAGCCAATGGTACATGTTGAGAATGATGTGAAGCCCAAGGATTGAAAGGACAAACTTATCAACCTTGCAACATAATAACAGTAAGCTGCCCAGACCAACAAATGAGCAGAAGCCTTGCAGGCTTGAAGGTTATGACAAAAATGCAAGAAGCAATCAGAAGCATGATAAATCATGCAGTCCTCTTTAAATAGCACTCCATGATAAGCTTGACATTGAACAGGTAGGCCTGCCTTCATAGGGATCATGGTGTAAGCCCTTGGGCTTGGCATGGCAGGGCATAAACACTTTGGCTTCAAGTAGATGTGAACATAAGCCCTTGGGCTTGACATGGATACAAATAGAGCATGTTATCATTGGATTTGGGCACTTGGCATACACCATGGTCACAAGCAAGAAAATACTCAATCTTTTTCCATGATTCACCATGGTTTGAACTGCATATGCAAAAACTTGCACTCATGTGCTTCACTCCCTTCCTTTGGCAAAGATTGGAAACCAAGCCACACTCATTGTCATGGCTGCATCAACATGAAACCAAATAGAAACACATATTTGGCAACTCAAACCAAACTAGTTTCACTGTTTCTTGTGCTTCTTCAAAGGAGGGCCCATTGGATCTTTGTCCTTGGGTGGTGCCTTCAAACTCAGCTGGCAGTGGGCTGAGACAGGGCTATTGTTGGTCAAGACTTTGATGTTGACATCCCCCAGCTTATGGCTGTGGGTGATCCACTTAAACTCTAGCAAACCTTCTTCATCTTCTTTTGAGCAAATCCAAAATGGGCACATAGTACCCTCATAAACCTGCTTAGTTTCATCCCACTTCACAGCCTTGCTAGGTGTGATGTAGTAGGTCTTCATCTGAAAGGTAACCTCCCCAAAGATCTTGACTGGTGGCTTCTTTGTCACAATGTTCTGGAGCCTCTCAGGGCATGGCACCAGCTGAATGTAGTTCTTCTTCATATCCTTCTGGGCAAAACACATGGCATGAGGTGTGCTTTGGACCATGACTTCATGCTCATCCATATCCAGGAAATTGTATGCCTCCTGGAGAACAACAAAGAGGGAACACTTCTCTGTTTCTTCCATGCATGGATCAGAGTTGGAAGGCCACATCAGTTGCAACTGGGCATTTGTAAAGAGCTTGGGCATCTTGGACTTGGTGGCTTTGAGATGAGCAGCAATCTCTGTGGAAAGAAAATTCATGGTGATCTTCTTGGTGGGTTCCAGTAAGGGGACATGCTCCAAGGTCACCTTGTCAGCTTCTACAGCAACCAGGGTGAAAATTCTGTTGGCTGGCTGGTCTTTGACAGTGAAATTGTTGCCAACCTTCAGGTCCAACAACTGGGCTGCCAAGAACATAGGGTTCTTTGCCTGCTGCAAGTCAAAAGCTACCTCCTTGGAATCCTGGGTGCCTGAACCACTAGGCTTGGATGTACTGGCTGCAGCACCTGCACTTGTTGCCTGTGCTAAGTCATCACTCTGAAGCATTTCTAATTCATCCATTGTTTTTTCTTTGCCATCCTTGCTCTGTTTCTCTTTGTTGCATAGATGGAGTGCATATCTACAACAGCTCCTGCCAAACAACTTGTAGATCACAGCCTGGTCCAACTGGGTTTTGTTGACCTTGTCCCAAAACTTAGTCAAAGAAGCCTCTACCTCATTGATCTTGGTTTCATACTTCTTCTGTTTCAAGCCAGCAACATCTGTTTTGGTGATGAGCTTGGCCACTGAGTCAACCACCTTGTCAGTAGTGCAGTTGGCCACCACCAATGCAAGCTTGACCATGGGGTGCAAAGTGGTCTTGGAAAACTGGGTGTCAACAATTGTGGTCATAAATTCTTCTCCAAGAATGGGGTTGCCACCAAATCGTTTGGACATGTAAGCCAAGAAATTGATCATGGGACCTTCTTGCCCACCTGCAGGGATTGTGCAACATATAATTTGACATGTATTTGCACTAAAAAAATAATGATTTTCTGGGGTTCACAGTCCCTCTTTCTTGCTTGAATTCGAAACAACCTTGCCTCCATAGAGCTGAACAAATTTGCCAACATGCTTTGCATATCCTTGAAGTGCACCTCCATGGCAGAGATCAACAGCACTCTTGGTATACATGATCTCACCTGGCAACTTGCCTTTCTGGGACAGCACAATGCTGGACATGAGCTGCACCTCATTTTGCAGTTCATATGTTGAGTTGGAGCTGTTTCCAGCACTTTCAATGATTGAAGGAAGGCTTGGCCACTTCTCAGCAACCACATTCTTGACAATAGTCCACTGCCAGCCTTCATGGATCATTTTGGCCAACTCCTTGTCCTTCAGCAAATGGCTGCCCAAGTGACCATTGGGCCCAGCAATGCTGGACTCTGAGGTCTTGCAGCAAGCAACAATTGCCTTGCAAAATTGAGTGGTGTGGCCCTTGGCACAAGTGAGGTACCTCTCTTTGCCTGTTGGCATGGCCATCAAATTCTCTGAGTCAACAACCATTTTCTTGTTGAACTCAATTTGGGATTTCCTTGTGCCCTCATCAGTGGAAATTTCAATGGCAACACTTCCACCCAACTGCTGCATGTCTGCACCTGCAGCAATGATGGTGGACCCCTTTCTGTGCATGCTGAAAGGGTTGATTCCAGTGCCACCTCTATTCAAGGGATGACAAAGGAACAAATCAGGGGTGCACTTCTGCTGGTAAGCCAGCCCTGAATCCAGCAAAATCTGCTGGATCTCACTCCACTGGCTCATCACACCCATGGAGGAACTCAGGACTTCATCCACTTTTCCACAAACCTCTAAGGAGATATTTGCCATGGCGACAAACCAAAAAAGTTGCATACACTTTGATCTTCAAGCTTGCAATATAATCAGCTGACAGTTGCAACAAAGCAAAGCAAACAATGCTAGCAACTGGCAACAACATAAGCCCATGGGCTTGAAGATGTCACATTTCAAATGTAAGAGTTTGCAGCCCCAGCTCCACATGGCAGCCCCTAACAATTTCAAGATTGCAACCCAAAAGCCCAAGGACTTGATCATGTGCTTGTAGACAACTATATGAAGATATGCATGGGTACACCCTACACATGTAGCATGTCTTGTATTCAGAATCTTGCAAATACATGGCATTGGCAAACCTAAAAGTGAAGCACACATGCAGTGAGGGTATAGAAACATGTTCAAAAGCCTGCTTGGCTTGAAAGCTCATCTGTAAAAACACAATGATGCCAGACTTCAAATGCACACCCACTCTGCAAGCAATTTTTTGTCACCCCAGGCATGTTCAAAAAAATATTCAGACATATCATCAGCACCTTTACACTTTGAGCCATGACCTACCATTGTTGCAGATCCACTATCTAACTTCCAGCTCCTGCAGGCCTTTCCAGCCAGTATGAATAGCTATTGCTCACAAAGCTGGCTGTCCACCTTCTACCACACCTTTGGCACCTGTAGCTCCATGGAAGCTTCCAACACCAAAGCCACCCAGGACAATCTTGAGCAGCGCATTGGATGTAGGAACCATGGGGGTGGCTCTGGGCACTGAACTCCCTGGATTCATCTTCACTATCCATGGGCTCAAATCTCAAATTGCCCCTTTGGGTTCCCATTGTTTCAAAGCTTATGGAGATTGCAAATGGCTGCATGCAATCCTAAATACCTGCAGCAGTAGGTAGGCATGTTGATACACAACAAGAGATAAGCCTCAAAAGGCTTGAGTTTTTTGGAATATGCATATGCCAAGTCTACACCAACCACAAACCAAAACATGTCACACAAGGTACAAATGGATTTGGCAGTTTGCATACCACATTGAACATCAAAATTTCCACCATGACTCATAAGCCAATCTCAGGCTTGAAACTTGAAATTCTACAAATTTCAAATTAAAGTGTTGGTGCACAAACATGAAAAAAACCAAGTGGCTTGACAAGTGCATGCAATGGCCAAGCATTTGGGAATCAATTTAAAAAACAAAAAAAACCACCATGGCTCCAAGGTCTTGTCAAAAAATGCATTGTTTTTTTTACATGCTAAGTACTTAGCAAATGTTGCTAACTACAGCCTTAACATTTTATATAACTAGTGCTAACCAGTTAACTCAGGAGCCATAAGTATAGTTAACCTTTTATAAACTATGTAGGACTTAGCCTTCAGGAAGGCTAACCTTTACCAAAGTTACAACAATTATACTTATGTTATACCATACTTATACCATACTTATACCATACTTATAAACATACTTATACCCAATACTAACTTAAGCAAACCGCCGGTTCATCCCAGCACCGTGTCAATGCGGGTAGATTGCTTGCCACCTGTCAGGTGCCATGGGCAAGAAGAAGGCGGCCGACAGTGCATTATTTTCAAAACAACATTTCCTGGTCCTGGCCGTGCAGGCACCGCGCCGCCGCGGTGACGGTGATATCTTCTTGCCTGGGCCGGAGTTGAAGAAGGGCGCCAGCGCTGCAGCCTCAGTCTGCCTGCATCATCTGTTTGCATCATGCAGCACCCCGACACGCCGATGCCGAGGGCCTCGCACCGTGCGAGAAACGCTGGCGCATCAAGGTCGCAAAGGAGCGCGCAAAGGCGGGGCTTGGGAATATTTGGGACTTGGCCCTTCGCTCGTGTCGTTGGACTCCTCAATGTTTGGGGCGGCAAAGCACCGCCGCGCGGCACCTTCGCACAAAGCCGCTGGAGCTGGAGCGGTCGCGGCCTCAAATCGCCATCGCATGAATCATGACAGTCTTGGCCTTGTGTTTCTTTGAACGCCAAATCTTTCTTTTGCCTTGAGGGCGCCACCGGCCCTGCCAAGCCGCCGTCGGTCCCTGCCTTAGATTGTACCGACTGCCGTTTCTTCTTTTCTTCTGCTTTGTATAAGATTTTGTAAGCACATGCATTTGCATCGCAAGCGAAATTCGCAAGCCATTTCAAGGCGAAGACTGGGGCGGCGCCCGCTTCGGCTCCGACTTTCTTTTGTTCCAACCTTGTCCTCAGCTCAGAGGTCGTATATACGTGTATATATATATAATATTATATAAATGACGGTATACCTCGATCTTTTTACGAAAGCCAGCTATCAAGCATGGCGAAGTTGCCCATTGCGAACGAAATGAGAATAGGGGGTCTGGGGGTGGTAGTCTCCAAACGGACCATTTTGAGGCGCTTCCCCACCTGGTCGATTTTGGATCGATTTTGAGGCTGATGTACCAGGTGGCAATTGGGTGACGGTGGGGTTCGATTCCCCCTGGTCCGTCCTCCGACGTGCATTTGGGGTGAGTGGAATGGAGGGTAAAGGGATGCAAAAATGGAGTCAAAGCATAACAGAACAATGGAAAACTTGGAAAGCGTAATGGAAAAAGAGAGGGACGGATTGGAGTTTCGGGGCGGGGTGTACGATGGGGGGAAGGTTGGAGGGACAAGAGCGTGGCTTGGGCGGGCTCTTTGGGGCGAGGCTCTATTGGGTGGCTGCCGGAAGCAAAGGAGCCCACATAGTGAAGGTTGCCAATGGCTGCTGATGTTTGGGGGGGAGGTGCGTGGCTGGCGGTGCGCATGGTTAGATTGGAGGGAAGAAAGGGCGTGGCTTGGGCAGGCAATGTGGAGTGAGGCTCTTTTAGGTAGCTGCTGCGAAGCAAATAACCCCGCAGGGGTGAAGGTGGCAGATGGGTGCTGATGCCTGGTGGTGGGAGAGGAGTGTAAAGTTTAAAGTGTAGGGTATGGAGTGTAGAGTGAAGAGTGTCGAGTGTAACGTGTAGTGTGTGCAGTGTAGAGTGTGGAGCGGAGTGTAAAGTCTAAAGTGGAAAGTGTAGAGTGTAAAGTGTAGAGGGTGGAGTGTGGAGTGAGGGGTGCACAGTGGAAAGTGTAAGGTGTGGGAGTGTAGAGTGTCAAGTGTAGAGTTTAAAGTGTAGAGTGTGGAGTGTAAGTGTAGAGTGTAAAGTGTAGTGTGTAAAGCGTAGAGTGTAGAGTGTGGAGCGTAAAGTGTAGAGTGTGGAGTGAACAGTGTGGAGTATGGAGTGTAAAGTGTAAAGTGTGGAGTGTAGAGTGGAAAGTGTAGAGTGTGAAGTGTAGAGTGTGGAGTGTAAAGTATGGAGTGTGGAGTGTAAAGTGTGCAGTAAGGAGTGAGGAGTGTAACGTGTAACGTGTAACGTATAAAGTATGGCGTGTAGAGAGAAGAGTGTAAAGTGCAAAGTGCAGTGTGTAAAGTGTAAAGTGTGCGGTGTGGAGTGTAAAGTGTAGAGTGTAAAGTCTAGTGTGTAAAGTGTGGAGTGTGGAGTCTGGAGTGTAAAGACTGTTTTGGAGTGTACAGTGTAAGTCTGTCGGTGGGAGAGGAGTGTAAAGTGTAAAGTGTAAGGTATGGAGTGTAGAGTGAAGAGTGTCGAGTGTAAAGTGTAGTGTGTACAGTGTAGAGTGTGGAGTGTAAAGTGTAGAGAGTAAAGTGTAGTGTGTAAAGTGTACAATGTGTGGAGTGCGGGGTGTAAAGTGTAAAGTGTAAAATGTAGAGTGTAAAGTGTAGAGGGCGGAGTGTGGAGTGAAGGGTGTACAGTGTCAAGTGAAGAGTGAAGAGTGTAGAGTGTCAAGTGTGGCGTGTAAAGTGTAGAGTGTGGAGTGTAAAGTGTGGAGTATGGCGTGCCAAGTGTGCAGTGAGGAGTGAGGAGTGTAAAGTGTAACGTCTAAAGTATGGAGTGTAGAGTGAAGAGTGTAAAGTGTAAAGTGTAGTGTGTCGAGCGTAGAGTGTGCGGTGTGGAGTGTAAAGTGTAGAGTGTAAAGTCTATAGTGTGTAAAGTGTAGACTGTGGAGTGCGAAGTGTAAAATGTAAAGTGTACATTCTAAAGTGTAGAGTGCGGAGCACCCACCCGCCTTCACTTCATGTTTCAAACACACCACAGAGCTTCTTTCTCCACAAGCGCCCGCTTCCCCTTCTTCCTTGCCTTCCCTGCCGCCGACACCTCCTCTCCCCTTCCGGGCTCCTTTGCGCCCCGTCAGCTCTTTAAATGAGGCCCCCGTTCCACTTTCTCCTACGCTCTCTTCACCCTTCCCTACCTTTCCCACACTTCTTCCCTCCGCTCCTTCTTCCTACACATTCCTTCCTTCTCTCCAAGGGCTCCCCACGGCCACACCCAACACAGCCTCACAAGCACCATGCCGGCCCCTCCGCCCCTCCCCCGATGCCCCCACCAACCCCCCGCCGCAATCCCTCCCATGCTTTCCACTCTCCTGTCCCCGTTCAAACTTGACCCTGGCTTTCGTCCCCTCTTCTCAGGTTATCCTGTCTGCCTTGAACAACGTCGCCACGCCGCAGATTTGCCTCAGGATCGCGGCCAAGAGCGGCGGTTCCTCAACCGCCGCGCACGCGCAGGCGCGTGCTGCGTTTCTCGTGTTGCTGCGCGTCCATCCCTTTGCAATGTTGCGTTGCTTGTCGTCCAGGCCTCAGCGACAAGGCGAACAGACCGCCGTCCCTCGCCGAGTGGACGGCGGATGGTCACGCGCGGGCCCCAGCGCGTTTTTGTGCTTGTCCTTTCTTCAGGTTTCCGTTGCATGCACGTCCTGCCCATCGCATTCATCACTCAGGCTGCGTTCCGATACAGACCGAACTACCTGACGAACAAGGCCCGGGGCCGAGTGATTACTTCCAAAATCCTCCAAACCTCTCCTTATATACGCACTGGTTCTTCGTCTTCTTCTTCTTCCTGCTTCCGAGGAACGCAACAGAAAGGCACATGCGGCCAATGGCAACACCAGCATGGTGTGTGTGTGTGTGGTGTCCTCAGACCGCACTCTATGTACATACATGCTCCACTGCATCCCGGTATCATCCGGTATATCCATTATTGATCCCAGGCCAACTGCCCCGAGGTGCCCCACGAACAAGGCTCGGGCCGACGACTTTTTATTTTTACTGTTCATTCTATATATTTATGCAATAATATTTTATGAATATATAATATTATATATGTAATAATAATGATAATGATAGTATTATTAATAATAATAATAAGTAACATATCTCAACAACAAAATACATAGAACAGTTTGAAACCAGCAAATTATCAGGACAAACACATAATCTGTGTACATCCTGAAGAAACTGCTCTACAAGGTGGTGCCCCCCAGCTATGTTTGTTGGCTTATAAACCCCATGAGTTATAGTTAAAACAATCATAAACCCTAGTCAACCTAGTCATGCTTACCAACTCAGCGATCTAAATCCTATGAAATGCCATTAAATCCTATTAAATCACAAAAACGCATGTTGTTTCACCATGATCAGCCACATTTCCGCGCAGAAGAGACTCGTCGTTTCTGGTGGTGTCAGTGCCTGCAGAGACCATCGTACCTTGGACAGAGACCATCGTACCAGCTGGGCGAGGAAGTCTTTGCAGGGATAGAACTGATAAACAATTATATATAAACTAGGTCAATCTTAGATGGGTAGAAACTAATCCTTTAGTCTTGTGGTATCAATGGGATTATCTACGTTCACCAGCTAAGATTTTTTTTGTTGCAGGGTATCTAAGATTGGCCATGTAGAGGATATAGCTATGTATAAGGATATATCTAGATTTACATACATTACATAGTTTCTCTATATAGAATCAGCTGGGAGATAGCTGATACATGTTTTTGATTCTATAAAGGATTAACTATATGCAGATTAGGATATAAAGACGATATCTTGGTGATTTTTTCACGGTGATTCATAAGGATTGCACCACCTGAAGTCGTGATGTCACTGGAATGATGGTGAAATGGGAGCGGGCAATCATCCCCACACGGGCCAGTACCTGTTCAGCCAGGACTAGATTTGGTGATCACACACCGAAATCTTGCAACAAATCACTAGCCCATATACTCCATGTATGGTATATTTGCCTACATTTGGGTGATTTTTAGGGCAAATGTTGATAAATATTCCATACATGGAGCATATGGGTAGAATCAAAGTGAAGATTCTCAATAAATTTGCGGAATCCAATATAGAATTCACATGGCCATATATTGCCATGATATACTATCAGTTGATCAAGATTGCTGTAAAGTATAGTCAAGTGATATTCTCATTAATTTCAGCAATTATCATCAGAATTGTCTTGATGGAATAAACTTCAATAAGAAACAGTTGAGAACAACAGTCTCAGTCAGTTCTTGATAACATCAATCAAATCGAGATCAGATCCCAAAAGCAATCAACTTCCATCAATCAACAACAATCCCAACAGTCATCGAACAAATATTTGGCGACCTCCATGTGGCCTAAACCTGCAAAATCCTGCAAATCATGGTGAATGTTTATTGGGAATCATTCCGATAGCTGGCCTTACATCTTAAGGTTTGTGAATATGATCAGTTGCCCAGAGCTTATCACTTACGACTTACTTGCGTTGCAGATAACAGATGTCAAATGCTAATAATCAGTACCATTTTACTATATTGATATCCAGATTCTATAATTCTTGTTAAGATGCAGACATGAAACTCAATTGCTAATCGGTTACTATAATTCTTATCATCAGTAAATATCAGCAACATGTTACTATAATCACTATAATCAGTAACATGGTAATAACGATGACAAAAATCAGTCCCACTACTATTGAGTAGCTATATAATCAGTAACGCGGATGTTTACATCACCCCGATCTAGGCCCCGTTGACAGAGCTCTTGAAGCTACTGATGAACTTGGAGGAGGAGTGCTGAAGTCATGGTGCTACCTATGGGTTTAATGGAAATTTAGTGGTGATTTAATGGGGCTCAATTGGAAACTATAATGGGAATAATAATGGGAAACAATATTGAATATATTATTCATTATATATGGGACATATATTCCAGTAATTCCCATTTATTCCCATATATTTCCCATTAATGAATTACTGGAATAATGGGAAATTGTGATTGAAGGATGATTCAATGAATTTTTTCATGGTGATTTCATAGGACTTAATGGAGAAGCTAGATGGATATAGGGGAATGAATGCAATACCCTAGGAGTAATCGCCGATATAGATGTGGGCAACCCAATGCCATAAACAACTACCATGACTGGGAATGACTTATGTATATCAGCCATAAACAAAATGAATTTGGGGGACGGTTTAATGCAACGAGGTTTACCACATTGGTATATGTATTTACCAGCAAGAAAGGATTTACCTAGACATGAACGCATCTTACAAACAATAATCTATGAATATCTATGGTAAGTTTTGCGACAAATTCGTGGGGCATTTGGCTTCAAATGTTTCACCATATGAGGCAAAGGCCGGTTGGCAAAGGCAGCTCAAAGGCCGGGCCCTTCCGGCCCCACTCCAGACCACTTGGGGCTGAATGCATTGGTACAAATATATATATATATATAAACATATATATATATATGTAGAAATGGGGGAGGGTCAAAACCTACTATTACCATATCACTGTGTGAATAAACATCCACAAACCATTAAATTTTAGGGTACCATCCGGGTACCACGGCTTTGACTCCTAGCCACATAATTCAAAATGGCAATCTCAGTTTTTGGACGGGTCCAAAACGGTACCTGATTGACTAAGCCTGTCTCTACGCAGTTTTTGTCGGAGCTTGTGGGTGCTAGAGGAGTTATTTCGTGCGTGTCCTCAGCATGGTCTTCATTCTTTGAAGAGCTTGGAGGGCTGTTTCTCGGCCGCGAAAAAAGGCCATCTGGAAACTTAGCATGATGATGTAGCACTGTTGACATGATTCTGCATCGAAAATGGCAAGTGCCTGACCAGTGGGTTTTGAGTTTTGAATAGTTTTGATCTACATATAAATATAATATATATAAATATCCTGAATGCAATGAGTCTTTTCCATCTCACCATACTTGTAATCCTGGACCCAAGGGTTGTTCCAACGCGGAGTGACATTCAAGTATTATGGTGCAATATCACCCCCCATCTTTGTTTCGGACTAAATAAGAGCCATACAAACCTCATTAAGAATGCAAAACTAGATAGGAAAATACAACCTTTTTCAACAAGGTTTTCCCAATTTTTCCCAGTTTTTTCCTATGGGCTGTCGGATTTTTGGCAGGTTGCTTCATCTCTGAAGCGTCTGGCGTGGTCAGCGGGCAAAGCTGGCTGTGGGCTGATGATGAAGAAACCGTCGAGGTGCGCCCGGGTCTCGCGGCGACGTGGACTTGGAGGAGTATTGTTGTTGAATATATAGTATATATATATAGTATATATATATATATAGTATATATATAGTATATATATAGTATATATATAGTATATATATAGGATATATATATATAAAGTACATATATAGTATTTATATATAGTATATATATAGTATATGTATTATATTTAATAATAATAGCATTATAATATTTAACTTTACATTTTAGCATTATATATGGGAGAAGTATTGATTTTAAAAGTATATATAGTATCAATAATCAATCATTATATATTTATATAGACAATCTATACATCATTAATATACATATATATATATATACATGTATTTTATAATGTTATCAGGAGAATTATAGATATTTGTTGTATGTTATTATATATCTCCTCATCAAACACATTGCAAGTTGATGCTAGTGACTAATCCTTGAAGTAAGACCTCCTTTGTTGTGTCGTGTCACTTCGACCCTCACCGCATCCCATGTGCGGACAAAGCCCTGTATGATGCGGGTTGGATAGGGACATTTGAAGCCCAAACGACCGTACCACAAACGATGCTTACGCTGTGGATCATCAAACAGGTTCTTGATTTGGTTAATGAATCATGATACTTGCACCTACCATCAAATGCATCTTGGTAAACATATCGTAGAATGTGATTTGAGGTGCCTTGCAAGCCCTTTTTTTGGTTTGTTGCCTCACAGCCACATGCTTCTCCTTTGCTTCTGACTCGGAGAGGGATCGGTAAAAAACCCTCCTGTAAAGCCCACCATGTGTAGATCATTGTCCCGTGGAAAGCATTGGTTTTTGGACATCTATGAGAATTTTCTGGAAATACAGGCAAAGTGTCCTTTATAATTAAAATAATTTGTAATCACGGAATAGTGCCTAAGTTTTCAGGCACTTGATCTATGTCCATGTTAAGTGGTTCTGTTCCAATACCACACTTGCAGCCATTTGCAGTAATGGAGACTTGGCAATTGGACAGTAGATATCATTCGATATCAACTGGTCTGGCCCGTGTAACATCGAGTGATATGAATCCGCTTGAAATGTGGAAGGGTCATTTCTCCTTGTTTGTACATGTGGTGAGCATGACACAAGTGTAGCAAATGGACGACTATCATATGCTCTTCTTGGATGAATATAGTATCCCGCATTCAAAAAAACACACACACACACACAAATTGTTTGATGCGACAAACCCAGGAATCGCAGAACTACCTTACAGTGGCTCAAAGGCTTGTTGGTAGGTTTCGTTTGTTGACATTTCATGGGGCCTACCAAACCTTCATGGAAACCCACACAAAACTCTTGGTTTTCCCTCAGTTTGCCTGGGGATTGCATGGGCATTGAATAAGGGTTCATGGGCCTTTGATGGGAGTTGCGTTTGACTTTCATGGGACTTGCTTTATTGGCAGGCCCCAAACATTTAGGTCCCTCTCTTGTGGGGTGTCCATGCCAGAGCCGTGGCATGGCAGAGAAGCATCACTGCTGGGTGTGAGTTCAAGAAGACCCTTGCTATTAGGTGCTTCAGCACTCCTATGAAATTACTTGCCCGTTTCTGACCATTCTAATAGTAGTTCATAAAATGCCAATTCTTTTGGGGTGCATCCCAGTTAGTAGATCGGTAACAACCATACTACAAGCCAGTTTTGTGAGGGTTATTACATGTTATTACATGTTTTTACCCAGTTGTGTCCATAATAATATGTGTGTATATATATATATATAGTAAGTTATTATGAACCACTTGCTAAATGCCATGCGCCCCCCAAGCACCCTTGACTTCCATCCTGGAGGTCTTCGACGAGCTGGCGAACATCTTGCTCCAACACCTGCCACGACGCGAGGAGATGAGGCGACTGACTGGACCGGAATTTCCTGGATCGACTAACTGGAATAGGTACAGTTATGGCCCTTAGTTAAGGGCCTTAAATGGAATAATATCTACTATAACAAAGGTTCTATATCTATATAAGCCCATTAATAAGTGTTAAGGGGAATAACGATAGTTTTCCAGAAACAGAAGTTCAACCAGCTAAAAATATGGGGAAATTGTGAATGAATATCGAGCACTTTCTTATCTTTCTGAAGATCTGAATCTCCCGGCGTTGCGAAAAGATAAGTTACAAGCATGAAACTGGCGCAGTCACTTGACAAAAATTCTTAGAGCCAGGCTCTACACGGCATCTTTCACGGTGATCCAACACGCGGTGGAGGTGTGGCGATGGTTGGGCGATGGTTGGGGCAGGATACCAATCAGTTGTAAGTTGTAAGTCAAAGGCCTTGTGTTTTGATACCATAAGGATTGATATTATATAAGGTATCTAATATGTGATAATTACTCCGATACTGGATTTGTTTGTTGATCGGGCTCATAAATTTCTTTTCACTCAATGCATAATTTCCTGAATTACAGTAATTGTCGTGTATTTGGGCGTGTATGAACATGATGTGTTTCAGTTTTTCCCACGATTTTCCGCTTGTTTGTTACCTCAATTTCCCGATTAAAGCGGTCATATCTGTGGGAGGTATACTAGCCAGCTTCAGAGAGACCCAAGCATCAGATTCAGTCTTACATTCCTTTCTATCTAAATTCTGGGGGGTTCTTAAAGTGGGGATTTTTTAAGTCACCATGGGTTTCAATAGTAAAATGTACCAAAATGGTCGAATCTGGATGATTTGGGGGTACCCCCATTTTAGGACAACTCCTTGTAACCTCAATATCTGGAATGGTGAATGTCAAGGATAACTATCCCAAAACAGTGTTAATTCGGGCGCGCAGGGCGCTGGCCGGCCTAAGTTAGTGAATTATAATTATCATAATTGTTACAAGGTGGTGCCCCTAAGATAGGCAAGTTGGTTTATAACTCCAATAGCGATGGTTTATAGGTGATATATTATATCTACAGTTAATGGGGTTTATAAACCAATTTATAACTGGAGGGGGCACCACCTTGTTATTATTATTCAGGCGCAATGATTGGTTATCCGTTTGCCCTAGCATTAGGTTTCAAAATCATACGCTACTAGTTTGATGGATACATATATGGGCCAGGGTTTCCCAAAAAAGGGGTCCCCCAAATCATCCAGTCGTCATTTGACCACTTTAATTCGTTTTTTTGTTGATTTGTGGATCCCCAAAATTAGCGGAAGACTAGAGTTGCAAAAGTCGTAAGTACAGCGCCAGCGTGAAAGAAAAGAATGTTGGTTGCAGATTGCCAGGGTCCCTCAATTTCTGATCGGAAAGGCCCCATGTATGTCAGTATATGTACAATTATTCGGTCGAGGGTCCCTTAATTTCTTAGCAATTTCTTAATGTAGTATTTCACAAGCAGTTAGATTTGAAGATGTAAGAGCGGGGTTGCCTCTGCGCAGCGCAGCTCCTTTCGTGAGTTTTGACTCCGCCATCCTTGCACAGCTTCCCAGAGGCTCCTGGGCACAAAGGAACAGTTACCCAGTCTCCTCTACAGAAAGCTTTACAAACCCTTACATGATTAAGAAATTGAGGGGCTGGATTTCTGAGTTATGGTTGCAAGGGAGGCTGGCTCCATTTCCCGCTCCAAATAGAATCTTTATAAACCCTTTCATGGTTAAGGAAATTGAGCAGGGGCGCAAAGGGGCTCCTTCACATACATCTAAATTTCTTAGCCTTCAAAATTCCAGGGTCCCTCAATTTCTTCACGTCACTACCATTCGCATATATATATATATATATATTTTTCCACAAAACATATATGCGGCCAAAAAATCCAGCCCCTCATTTTCTTTTACATGCAAGGACTTCTTATACAGTGCTTGGATTGTAATTTTCTTCGCCACTCATGTAATGTTTAATATTAAGTCACTGCAGGATGGTGCCCCCCAGTGATGTGAATGTTGATTTATAAACCACATGAATACTAGTTCGTTGTATCTACCATAAACCATAGCATTCAGCCACAACCATAAGGCAACTGAACGCGATTTCGAACGGGGGCTCCATCCTGCAACGGCTGCACTGACCGCGTCAGGATGAGGACTCCAAGTGGCACGTGGATTGGCATGGCATTCCGGAAGGCGACCGCCGAAGGGGCCCCCGTTGCCTAAGTTGAGGCACATAACTTGGTGAGCGTTTGAGGTTGTGGGGGATAGAACATATAAATCTCTGGTTTATAAAGCAATTGTTACCTTGGTTGATTGGTTATAAACTAGGGAATTGTGCTACCTAATTTATAGGGGATAGAACTATCGTTAGATGGGGGTATGAGCCAAATTATAACTAGGGGGGGCCCTTGCAGAAATACAACCTGGGGCCCCAATTCGTGAACTTTTGGTGAACAGAAGTACTATAGATGAAGGAACTGGTTTATGGTAGATCTATAAAAACGACCTAGTTTTCATGGGGGTTATGAAGCAACAACGATAGCTTTGGCCCGGCCTTGTAAAAATCTCCGAAACATATCTGGGGCCGGGAGCATGCCTGTCAAGAAACGAAGACTGCAGCAAATCTGAGGTCTTGCTGTTCATCCATAGAATGATGTTGTGATGATACCAAGTAGTTGACATTCCAAAATAGCTGGTGGTTTTCCTGTTTCTCAATGATCAACTCTATTTGGGGTTTCCTTAAAATGATCGATCCCCAAGTCACCATGGGTTTCAATCCTAGAATATGATGAATTTCGGGTGATTTGGCAGTACCCCATGACTTAGGAAACCTCCATTTGAAATGAGGATCCCCAAGTGACAAATATTTGAACCACAAACCAGCTTTGGTGTGTGCAGTGTTGATGATGTTGTTGTCTGGGATCCGAATGCTCGACATGTTGTGTGACCACATGCCTCTATCCAATCCTACTGGTATCAATCCAACTACTACTATATCAAACATGAGAACTTGACCTGTGCGTTTTGCAGGATTTTTAATGGGGTGGGGTGGGGTCGGGGGGCAATAACGGTCTTCTTTCGACCACTCCTTGATGCCACGTTGATAACATGTTGAAGTATCTTGGGAACGCTCTTGGTGCTACGCTGATAACATGTTGAAGTTACTCGGAAGACACTCTTGATGCGAACGTTGATAACATGCTGAAGTAACTTGGATATATATATATGGGGTGGGGTAGGGTGCGGGGGCTAATAACGTTCTTACGACCACGTCCTTCATGCTACATTGACAACATGTTGAAGTAACTTGGAAAACACTCTTCATGCTACGTTGATCACATGTTGAAGTATATTGGGAAAACATGGGAAAACGTTGTTGATGCTACGTTGATAGCATGTTGAAGTAACTAATAACGTTCTTCCACCACGAACTTGACGCTACGTTGACAACATGTTGAAATAACTTGGAAGACACTCTTCCTGCTACGTTGGTCACATGTTGAAGTATCTTGGGAAAATGCTGTTGAATCTACGTTGATAGCACGTTGAAGTAACAAATAACGTTCTTCCACCACGAACTTGACGCTACGTTGACAACATGTTGAAGTAACTTGGAAGACACTCTTGATGCTACAGCGATAACATGTTGAAGTAACCTGGAAGACGTTCTTCCGACCACGTCCTTCATGCTACGTTGATAACATGTTGAAGAAACTTGGGAGACGCTCTTGATGCTACGTTGATAACATGCTGAAGTAGCTTGGAAAAAAGGTGTTGATATGTGTTGATGCTATGTTGATCACGTGTGAATTGAAAATTCACACCTCAGCATATGTGTACAGAATTGGGGAAGATTTGCAAGCGGCGACCATGAGTGACAAAAGTGGCGCCGCCGCCCACTGGCCACCCGGCACGGCGTAACCTGGGTAGTTTAATCCTGCAATCTTTTGCTATGAGTAGGAATAACTATCTAATATTGGCATTGATAGTAGGGACCCCATGAAGAATAGGTGATTTTCTTGTTTGATATAGGAATCTGGCAGTTGTTTTCACCCTCTTGAACACGTAGTCAATGATCATCAAGCCAAATGTAGTTGAACATAAAATCTCAGAGTATTCTCAAATTGTGCCAAAATTTGAAAAAAATCATGTAAAATAACAAAAACAAACTGAACCCTATAGTTTAGACTTAAATTCCCAAATCCGGGTCGTAACTAAACAATGGACCCGACCACAATGTTATCGCAGGTTTGTGCTGGACGTTGCTTGTTCCCATTTGGCCAAGTGTGTCGCGACCGATGGAGGGATGGGCGGTTGGGTGAAGTTGTGTTTGTTCTGGTACACCTGTTGGGAATCAATCATGGCAACAGAAAATGACCGATTTACATTTATTTACTATCAATATCTATGGATGATGTTCATGGATTTTCCGGATCAACTTGTGATTTTCCGATTAAAAAACAAACAGGGTCTTTTATATAAACTTTGGGTGCCAGGTTGGGAGTAGTAGCCTTTTATAGAGGAGCCTGATTCTCGAGGGCTGCCGTTTTCATCCTGGTTTTGGACAGATGTTGAAGGTCACTGGATAGGAAAAAAACGACCAGCTGGATATGGTTTAAACCACCCATAAAACATTTTTCTCAACCATTTTGGGAATCATTATTATATACCACCCATAAATATACCACCCAAAAATCCTACTATAGTGACTAATGTGGTGATTTTGGGGATGGTTCATTGGTGGGTCTACCGGTCTACCAGATTAGTCACTATTTGGATCTGTTTGGTACATCAGAAACGTTGGGTTTTCTTCTTGCTGACTGCTTCGTGGTTTCCTTTTCGCAGCTTCCATGTTTGATACATGGTGATGTCCATGGACATACATGACTTCCCTGTCAGCGCACTGCCCATGTTTCTCCCCATTTTGATGGTTGATTTCGACGAGTATAGACCAATTATAGAATTATATAATGTATATATATATATATACATATATATATATTTATACATATATATACATATAATATCACCACCTGTATTAATTATTTGTTACAACATGTACCCCGTTTTTTGCGGATCAAACACCTAGACCTGAGCCGTTCACTCATAAAAATACGGATGCTGATGTTCAAGTGGGCAATCAAATTGGATTATACCATTTTTTATGAGTGAACTGAGGGTCAAAAGCTGATGGTTCATTCCAAATTTCTCTGCGGTTTTTCATCAGTTTTTTTTTTTGGTTGTCAAAAAAAAAACAAATGGAAAACATGGAAAACACCAGCTTGGTGGCTTCACATGTTTTCTCTCCCAACTGTCCGTCCTGGGATCTTAGATATATCCCAATGGTTGGTTGATTAATAGAGTTTCCCGCATGACCAAGCAACAGGTCGATGATAGAAGATGTAAAATGCTGTAAATACCAAACCGGCTCCAATTTGATCTGTCCGGATGTTTTGCCATATTTATCCTTATTTACACCTCAGTTCTACATATAGAAGGTCCCCAGTTATATATGGTGAATATATGGATAGAACTGGTTTTAAAACCACTCACAATAAGGACGATATTGATTGGGATGGCCTAGCCCACAAGGTCCCCGAAGATTGGCGCAGCATGGGCGGCACCCAGCTTTGTCGGCACCGTGACCATCGTCAGATGCTGTGGAGTGCGGGGAAGACGGTGCCGGGCAGCCTGAGAGACTTGCTGGTGGAGGCGAGGAGGAATAGATGGGAAGATGGGAAACTGTTGGGCAAGAAACCTAGGATACCTGGGCTCAACATGATTTAAGCAACAAGTGACATGTTGTGAATAGCAACATCTGTATAGAATCTGATGATTCCAAAAAAGACAACATCAAAGATGTTGAATTTACCATAAAATTGAATTGAGGATCACAAATAGAGAGGTGACCCCTCAGGACAACGGGAGTTCACCCGGCCAGAATCCCAGCACTTGGCTTGAATACTTTTGACCCACATATCTATGGAGGTTTCTGAGGTTTATGAAAATGGGAGATCCCCAATTTCCCATTTTCAAAACTTTGGATGATTCGGGGGTACCCCCCATTTTGGGAAACCGCCATAGTTGTAAAAGGCATAGCCTAGCGATCTCGCAACAAGCTCAGTCAGTTTGATGGTAGGCAGCGCTGCCTCCAGAGGACTTTGAGGTCATTGAACATTGTCGGGTGCTCAACTGGGGGTTCAGGGATCCAAGAGAAAGGTGGGGGCATAAACAATCAGAAACACATATTTTAGATACGGCACAACCCACGCTAGTTATGTGGGAATATTATATGGGTATGGGTCAATACCTATAGATACATTTTTAGTGGGATGAACATCCATTTACCAGCTATTTTGGGGTTCACTAGGTACCAGGGTTTTGACCCATCCCCATTAGTTGGTGCTGTTAAACCTTTTAACCTCTGTTAAATGATCCAACGAATCGCAAAAAGACGTCGTCGTGAATTTTCAGACCAGGCCATTGCCATGGATCCATTTTTTTTTCGGAAGGATGATGAGTTCTAACTGAAGAGTTGATAGTGATGATGTTGTTGTTGGTGATAGGAGTTACAACCTCAGCTCCGAAAATAATTCTATAATGTTCTATACACGAAAAAATTCTATAGTCTAGGATAGTTACCCTCTGGTAATATAGCATAACTATAGAACATCACCATTTTGAATAGGTAAACCGGTAAACCATTTATAAATAGACCATTTTCCATAGCTATGTTAGTTTACCAGAGGGTATAGTTAAAATTGGTTAAATATGATAGACATGGCAGAGTTACTGTACTCCTCCAATTGGCAAATTGTAGGTACCTGGACAGACAAAGTACGGGGTTTCAAGGTGGGTAAAAGTAACAAAGTGTTGGATAGAATACACTACCAAAAGATAGGAATCATACAATGTGAGCCCTCCAAATTTCAAGTTGGTTATTTTCACCCATTCGCTTATAGCTCTGGTTGGTGATTTGGAACATTTTTTATTTTTCCATATATTTGGAATAAAAATCCCAACTGACTAATATTTTTCAGAGGGGTTGAAACCACCAACCAGAGCTCTATCTCCACCGTAAATTCAACAGTTATGTTTTACACCAAGAGAAACCTATGATCAATCCGATGTTGATAATCTACTTGTTTGGTGGTTAACTTCCCATATTTCGTTTGGCGGTTATTTCTGATTGTTCGTGGTCAGAATAAAAATATTTCAGGTGGTTAAATCATGTTAAATCATGGTAAATCCTGTTAAATCACATTCTGTCAATGGGAACTCCAGGATCCTGAAATGGAGGTACTGTACCATATAAGGCCATATTTTGGGGTATCCCCTTACATAGGCCTCAAAAATAGGCCTTATATATGGCAGGTACCTCCAATAAATCGGTTCCTGAAATGGCCATTGATTCTGTTAACTCTCGTAATTTCCATGAGAAATCTCTATGTTGGCCCCACCTTGTGAAATCCCATGGAATCTGAAGGCCCCACTTTGCGAATGTTTCAGTGTTCAAAACCCCTGTTGGTTGATCATGAGTTCGGAGAGTCAGATCTACCCAGGGATTCAAAAAGACTCCAATAGGGGAAATCCATAGGGAAACCCGCTGGTAAGTTAACATAGCTATAGAAAATCACTTTTTTTTGAATAGGTCAATCTATCTATTTCTATAGGCCATTTTCTAATCACTATAGTTAACCCGTGAATAGGTAAACCATCTATAAATAGGCCATGTTCCATATATGTTTCCATCCCTTTCACGGGTGAAAAATCCCAGGTTATCGGCCCTGCGAATGTCTCCTCTTCGAGGGCAACGTGCTCCATCGCACAGGGCCCTATGTCACCTGGAGTTCAGTGGATGTGAATGGATTTTGATAGATTCTATATACAGTTATGGCCATTTATTAGTTATAACTGGTTATAAATGGGATTATACAATCTATAAATGGGGTTATAAGTACTTATAACTGGTAAAGGGCCATAACTGTAGCGGATTTTGATCGGTGTTGATGGATTTCAAAGAGCGTTATGATATTTGGGTATGTCTGGAAATGGGGTACACCATGGTACACCCCAAAAATGCAAGTTTAATGGTGAAAAGTATGACAAGCAATGGGTTTTTGGTATTTTATGTCCAGACAAACCCATCAATTGGTGGAATTGATCATCGATATTTAGTGGATAGATTCAACTATCAACAATAGATAAGAATAGTAGCTCGTTTTATCTCGTTTTATCAAACCAACTATATATTTGTAATAGGATTTGGTGCCCCATTTCACAATTGGCCAGTTTATGAAAGAACTGACAGAAATCTGGCGTTTATCGTTGATATAACAGCTAACTAGGTTTATAAGCCAACAAACATAACTTGGGCTCAACACCTTGTATGGGGGGAAGGGTTGAGTGATAATCCCCATTCCCCATTCCAGGTACTTTCCTGTAAACTACCAATTGCTATAAGACATGGAGGGTAATCAATAGTCATAGTACGTTACGTTCTAGAAATGCACAGGAAAAAAAAGCATGACCCCTATTTTAGGATTTGCGTTGCGTTTTGTTGGGTGTTGTTGTACATAAAGCTGGTGAATTATGAGAATTCACCAAGCTCATGTGTGCCTTTGGGAGAATCCCCTGTTGTTTCGAGACAAGTCAGTGATTTTTCATCCCCATGGGTAATGTTTAAGTATAAAGTAAGGGATAAGATAAGGGTAACTCTGCCAAAATGGCCCTTCCACATTTCGACATGATCCAATTGCGGGTGACTTGATCCTTGATCCTCGAACACGGATGGTTGATTCGTTTGGCGACCCGAGAAGGACCACCTTTTGGTGAATTCATCACCTTCTGCCATCAAACATTGATGCGTAACTGATAGTTTAGCTCCAACAAACAGGACATCCTCCATGTTTAGTGCTTGGTGGGGTTGCCATGTCTTTACTGATAGTTCATCGTACGCAAAGCGATCCGAGATCATGTTATCCAGTTTCAATGGAACATCCCTGGCTCATCTATGCTCATCTTATTTGCTTTGTATATGCCCTGTATGGTCCCCGCTTTGAAAAGCACCAAGTCGAAACCATCGCATGGTCCACGAGTTCTGGCGTCACTGATGGTGCCGTGGCCAAAATTGAACCGGGGGATGTTGCCGGGATCAGCCACCGATTTCTTCTGGGGGATGGTTTCTATATGTTTCTATACTTGGTGGCTCATCCCAGTTGGTAAGCGACTTATGACCCCAGTTATAAGTGGGAGAAGTAGGGTTAATCCACCTATAGCTCTGGTTGGTGGTTTGGAACATGACTTTTATTTTTCCATGTATTGGGAAGAATATAATCCCAACTGACTAATATTTTTCAGAGGGGTTAAAACCACCAACCAGATTTGTTTCTATAGGTCCCTCAGTGCCATGGAACATTTCCAGATATAGCACGTGTTTGTCCTCAGTTCTTCATGTTCTATGCCTTAAAAGAAGCTTTGAGATTTGTTTGCACTCTCTGTGAAGGTAAGATGGCTTGGTTCGTCGTCGTTTGATAATGTTTGATATGCTTGGGTTGGGTTTGAGTAATTCGTGATAAGCCTGTTTATCACTATGGATCTGTGATTTCCTACTAAGGGTACTAATACCCTGTTGCATGTTTATTCTAACTTGCTCTTGGCCATTAATTCAACACTAGCCGCTTCAAACATACCAGGTATCAGTACACGGTATCTCCACAAATCTGCTTCTGGGGTGACCTGGACCCTGCCTGTGAATTCCTGTGAAAGTTAGAAGCAGTACCAACTTTTTAGGACTATTTAAACTGGCTGGTGGTTTGAAACTTTTTTTTTATTTTCCATAATATATGGGATAATCCTTCCCAACTGACTAATATTTTTCAAGATGGTTAAAACCACCAACCAGTAAACTATTTATGTAATTTTCATGTGTAAGATTGAGGGTCTAGAGCGGCTTCAGAAAAGAACTCGTTCTAGGTAGTAGTGACCATGACAAGTCTCAAACTGTTAGATCCCCCTTATCCCATCCAAAACGTGATATGATGTGATATACAAATAGACCCACCCCACAACAGCCACGACATGCCACGACAGGGTAACCATACAACCCAAACCTTTTGCCTGGTGGAATGCTCTGTATCTGGTCGCCTTTTTTTTCTCCCCTCTTTGAACCATGAAAAGTGAACAGCCACCCTTCAATTGGTCACTGGAATCATGGTAAATTTATGGTAAATTTATGGGAAATCATCCCCAAACGCAAGAAGTTGGTGGCCGCAAGATTCAGGTGAGTGAAATATTATTTCATTTGATAAATGGTATATCATCCACATTAATGGTATAGTAATGGTATATTACGCAGCTGGGTTGATTGGGCCCATGAAGCCAATGATGTGATTATGAACCAACAAAACACCCCCACGACTTGGATCAGGTTGGCCCCAAAGACCCTGAACACTTCCCAGCCGTGGACCGCAGCCTGCGGAAACAGGGCGCTTGTTTCCTTCGCGACAACGCTGGAAAAAACAATGATGGTGGAGACAGGGGTTCGATTGTCATGTTAAATGTGAACAAATACGTCTGTGTTGTTTTGGTATCGGCATACAAGTTCTGACATATATATATATATTGTAAAATTAAATATATGTATATATATATACATATAAAAACAAACTTTTTAATCACATCATATCTACATTATATTTTTTGTAGTCGTTATTGTTGTTGCTGTTTTTCTTTTGTATTAATAATATTCGTTATTAAATATCTATGTTCTTCCTATTATTAATACTACTATTAAGTATTAGTATTTCTTGCGATTATAAATACAATTATTGTTATTCTCAAATAATACATATACATATATATATATATTATAAATATGTCAGCATATATTGTTATGATGATATATATATATATATATATATATATACATATCACACCCTTGGACGTTACGCTAGGACCTAAGCGCTAGGGAGCTGCCGGAAGCAAACTCAAACGAGTCGCTGAAGTGTCATGAAAGAAATGGCATCCGTTGATCCTCCAAGACATGTACTGCTTGGTGGTTTGGAACATGGCTTTTATGATTTTCCATATCGGAAAAATAATCCATATATTGGGAATGTCATAATCCCAATTGACGAACTCATATTTGTCAGAGGGGTAGGTACGCCAACCAGTGTAGAAATGCAAATTGGCCTCAAAAAACAAATACAACATGCAAAACACAGTGGAATTACGTACCTGTTGTCCTTGCAAAGGTGTCAAAAACACTGTAAATACGTCGTTTCTCAAAGATGATGAGTTTGTAAATTCTCAACAACTTACACAAATATAGTTCCCAACGGAGCGAAAAGGATCGGAGAGGTTTATGTCCAGTATTCTTGACCACTGCATCTAACATTAGTGGTGCTTGCGTGCCAGGCAAGTGAGAGGGCCGAGTGAGCTGAGCGACTCGTGGAGCTGCAAACCGAGGAAAAACAAACGGCAGACGTTGATGCAGTGGAACTTGGGGCACCAATGGCCCCAGAAAAGGTGTTTCATTTTGAACCCATTTCCATTGGTGATATTGAGATATTGAAATATTGAGATATTGAACTACATTTTGAGATATTGAGATATATTGAGATATTTTTTTGGGTCCATTCATTTCGAGTTGTATCGAAACTCAGCTGATTGCCGATGTTAAGCATCCCAACACACCACAAAAAGGGACCCCGGTGACTAACGTTAAAGCCCAAGCAGTTCGTTATATCTACCAATACACCATTGAATTTACCGGCTCGTGAAGTGAATCTTTTACGTAAGCTATCCCATGGCAGTTCAGTTTACCATGAATTTCCACCATATTCAGCTCAAAGAATTACAACATACGCAATAGACCTTAGTTACGTTGCCTCGACGACCTCGCTTTCTTCCGGGATGGGTTTTTATCAGCTATTTTAAGATGTTCACCAGGTGTTTTTCACCTGCCTATTGGTGCCATTTTGGGAATTACAATATGTTACTATGATGTTCCAAGCATTTTGACAATGATGGTTCATTGGGGGGTTGACCCATCCCCAGATCAGCAACTTAAGATGATTCGAGAGCTGAACATGTGGTATAGCCGCTATAACCCAGATGTTTATCTCATTTGTGGCGGGAAATGATGACTGAAATTCCTGGGATTTTTGGAGATAGGAAAGAAGAACTGGTGGCAAATTGCAAGCAGGACCCCCCAAAAAGGGTTTCCTGTACATGTTACCCAAAATCCATGGATTCAGATAGTTCATGATAGTTCAAACTGGTGACAGGTGGCCCAGATAGCTAAGCAAACGTGCTGGAAAATCCCCTTTAACATAATTTACCGAAACGATTCTGGTTTTAATACGGTAACATCAGTTATAAATCAATTGTAAATCACGGATTTTCATGGATTAAAATCCGGCAAAGCGCGTTTTACCAGAAGGTAATCTGGTTGGCAGTTTCAAACCTTTTTTTTAATATTTTCCATCATATATGGGATAATCCCTCCCATTGACTGATATTTTTCAAGATGGTTAAAACCACCAACCTCAATGGATTGGTTTAAGGGAAAATTTTCAGGAAACCATGGTTTTTACCATTAAATATGGGGGTTTTCCTGTAAATTTTCCCCTAAACCAATCCATTGACAACCAGTAATGAATCAGTGATAAATCATGACCTTAGTTTGGCTTCGCTGTCGGGCCGTACCTTCGCGGTTCCTGGGGCACATGCCATGCAGAACCGCGAGGAGTTTACGGTGCGGACGTTCGGAAGACGTTGTGATTTGTTGGTGGTAGAGGGTTATAGAAAGCCTCAAAAAAATGCATCTAGTAGTATACATGGAAACAAGAGTTTATTCTAGAAATAGTGCATTCTATAGCAACCCCTTTTTTGTCTATTCTAGAAATGTATCCTGGTGAATGAAAATCCACAAGTATACCAGCTATTTTGAGGTTCACCAGGGTACCGTTTGGTTTTGTTGGAAAGCTCCATTTGTCTCTTTCCCAGTTCTTCACATTCCAACTGGTCCACTCTTCTTCTGGCCTTGTTTGACCCACGGGACCACAGTTGTTGATTTTTGTTTAGGATTCACATGCATCAATGCATCAATCATCGATTATGTTGGGGTACCCAAATTTCGAGCCATACCCATTTTTTTCGAGAACTCCAGGGTTGCAAGTTGTGGGTGTTGCTCTAAAAATAGGGTACGCCATTCCATCCCATAGTAAATCATATCCTTCTTCCCATTTTCTCGCGGGGATACACACTTGCTAACCATTTTTGGACACCCATTTTGATTTTCATGTAGTTGGGCTGAAATATAAGAAACCACCACAGATCACTTCAAAATTGCCATCATGTTATACGTATGTATATATATAATATTATAAGTTCAAGTAAGCTATGACAAATCACAACCAAAAGATCCGCACCCCAAATCTAAAATGGATGGTTAACGCCAACTTTGGCCGAACGCACCATTATATTTGTTTTTGTATTTGTGGTTTTCAAACAGTTGTTGTTTTTCAAGTATACTTGCAGATGATTGGTTGAAATGAAATGACTAATACTTTTGGGATGGGTTCAAACCACCAACCAGAGAAACTCTGGCAAGGAACTATGGGAAAATAAGCCAAGATGCCCATTAATCTCATGATATCTCTATGAAAACCCATCAAATCACCCGTGTTTCTTGGTTTCAAGAATCCTCACTTTGGCCAACCACAAGCCCGCCAGGCGTTGCTGTCTGCCGGCACAAGCAGCGCTGTGGCTCTCTCCGTCCCAGGGCATGTTTTGGAGATCCCCAAAGGAGAACTGTTGAACGATAGCAGGAGCTGGGCCCGTTTACGATAGCCCTTGTTGGTGCAAATAGGACATAGATAAATTCTAATAGATAAACTCTCAGACCTTCAGGTTTAGAGATAAAACATGATAAAACAAACCAGTTGATGGAGTTTATACACCAACTTGGAACTGGGGGGGCACCAACCTTGTGGGGAATCTCTTCAAACATCGATTTTTATGGCCCTCCCCCCAAAAAAAGCAGACCACATGTGGTTTCAGCGTGTTTCGGCATGTTTCAGCCACTTGCAAAGACTCTCGCCGACGCTGCTCGAACTCCAGCTCTGAATGACTCCGGTTTGGTAGGGGAAGAGGGCCTGGAGCAGGTGCGATGGGAGAAGCCAGCATCCTGTGACACGACGTGGCTTCAAATCATCACATCCCCTTATGCAATACCCTCTGGTAAACTAACATAACTATGGAAAATCACCATTTTCAATGGGAAAATCCACTATTTCTATGGTGATTTTCAATAGCTATGTTAGTCATTACCAGAGGGTAAGGTATCTTAAGGCCTAAGGCATCCTAAGGCATCCCAAGGCCCTATTGAAAACCGTCGAAAAACACCCATGCTTTGGCCTCATGAATCGGTCGGTGTGTTGGACTGGCAGGGAGTCACAGAAGCTTTCCAAGCGGGCTACCCCGCGTTGATCTCCATATGGAGGTTTCCTAAACTGCGGGTACCCCCAGTTCTCATCCATTTCAATAGCTGGTTGGTGGTTTGATGTGGTTTGGAACATGAATTTTATGACTTTCCATTCAGTTGGGAATGTCATACTCCCAACTGACGAACTCATATTTATCAGAGGGGTTGACACCACCAACCAGATAGGCTTTTCCAATATAAATCAACCATTTTTGGGTACCCCCGTTTTCGGAAAGCTCCATGTTGCTTGATGCTTCCCATGTTGTCGTGTCATGGCTGATTTTCTGGTTGATGATCCAATGGCTCTCCATTCTTCCCACATACCTCAAACAAAATCGCAGATGGCGCAACCAAAAAGTAAATTTAGTATATCATAGTATATATACATATAACATCATATAACATATATATATATAGACATATATATATATTGTGTGTGTGTTCTTTAATGTTTTTCTTTCCCATCCATATGCTCAGCATGAACCCCCTTCCTGGAAGGGCTGGTCCACCGACGACTCCGATGGGTGACCTCAAATTGATCACCTCGGAGGAAGAGGCGAAATTCGTGTGGCCGGATGTTGGGATCGCCGAAATGGGTGGCTTTAGGATATGGAAAAAAGGCAACAAGAATAATATGGGATTTTTGATGGGCTTTATTGGGATCTATGTATAATATCATGAGATATAAAATGAGATTTAATGGGATCTTCCATGGGATTTTCATGATTTCTGCTAGTTTCTGGTAATTTGTTACATGTGGAAAATGGCCCATGTATAGAATAGATTCCTAGATGAATCTAGATGATTTATGATTCTTTGCAAAGCGAAAACATGATTTTTCATAGCTACGGAATTGGGATGAGTGCTTTTTGGTGAAGCATGCACTATGTTCAGCTGCACATCAGAGAAACCTGATTCAACACATCCTAATAATCAACATATGGAGGTTTCCATAAACGGGGGTACCCAAAAATTGTTGGTTTATATTGGAAAACCCTTTCAAAATGAATGATTTGGGGGGTACCCCTAGTTTCGGAAACCTCCATATGGAGATGCCACAAAGTAGTTTTGTAGATGGATTAACAAGCCAACAAACATAATTGGGGAACTCACTTCGTAGATCATTGTAGCATTGTTGGCTACTTTGTTGGTGCACAACCCTCAGGCTCGCTTGCACTGCGATATTCTGTGGATATACCGTAGTTGCTGACCATTGCAATCCACGTAAGTAGTAAACTGCCATGTGGATTGACATATCCTTTGTTTTACATTCCTTCAAGATTGATTATTATACTGTTTTGCTCCCCAGCAACTGGCGAGGATTTGTCAACCGAACAGTAAACTATATGTATTTATAATTATATGTATATCCCTATATTGAAATAAATAAACATATATAAAATAGATATCATTGGTTTGTTGGGTATATCCCTATATGGATCTATATGGGATGATTTTGTTAAGACCCAAGCGTTGCTTTTTGCTTTCGAGGCTACGTTTGACTTCGAAGACTCCGAGACTGACGATGAACACGGTATTTATCATTCTCGCTGTGACAAGTGACGTGGTTAAAAAAACTGGTGTGCAAACGTGCTGTGCAGATGTGCTTTTCCAGACACCTGGGTCACGTGGACCCCGCACGTGTTATGCTTGTGTTTGTGATTAGCCTTTTGGCAATCAAAAACTGGTTGGTGGTTTGGAACATTTTATGTATATTGGGAATAATATTAATCCCAACGGACTAATATTTTTCAGAGGGGTAGGTATACCACCAACCAGAAATAGAAAATGTCCGCAGGGAAGAAAATATGGCGATGAGTCAAAATTTAAGCAGAAGGGACCACAGATTGACTTGTATATGTTTAGTAAAGTTTCGTATTACTAATCTAATTATTGAGGTACCCAATGTTGACCTATGCTCATATGTATATGGATGTGGATATAGGGGATTTTCCACGGTTGGTCACCTGTTGGTTGGCATACAATGTAGGGACCCCGGTTGCTCGGTTTCTGTTGCTCAGTTTATTTTAATGTTATTTATTTCAATGTTAATCATCAACCATAATCATCATATATATATAATCGTTTCGGGATGATTGTGAATATTAATCCATTTTCTTGATGGTTGAAGCCTTGTTTTTTTCATGAAAACCAAGGATCCATTTTGCAACAGCACTTCCCGGTAACTCATATCCAACAGCTATGGGGCTACGATCAACTCAGGGATAGAACCCTGGAAATATGATGGGCAATATACCTGGTTAAATTATAACGCCCTCACTGTGACCCCTGGAATCATGGTTTATATATGGGGAATTATCCCGATAAGGCCTTATGCTAGGTTAGTTAAATACTAACGTATACCAAGATATATGACTGGAAACTAGTTGCAACGGTGTTTGATTTGCTGATCCCTTTCCAATTTCCTGCTTACTTTTCCATTTTTCAGTTGGGTGTGGTCATATCCCGGAATTGGGGAAACGACCTCAAAAAGATGACAATTTTGACTGGTTTATACTGGGTATTCCTGCAGATTTTATTTTCAACCAAGCCGGCAATTTCAACAAAAATGTACATAGGTTACTCCAAAATCCAGTGTGTCTGAAAATGGAGAACAAACCGCCCCAACAATGGCTATGGCATGCTATGGCTAATTAGGCAAAATAATGATAAACTTTGGGTTTTTTTTTATCCTATTTTCAGACAAGACGATTTTCCAATATGTTCCCTATGTTGTATCCTCCGGTGAACTAAGATATATATATATATTGTTGAAAACCCACCATTTGTAGACAAGTTATATAATGTCTGCCAGGAAACCATGGGTTTTCGACTTTTTGTCTTTAAAGTTTACCCCTAGGTACTCCAAGAAATCATCTTAAATGCCATATAATTTCATATAATTAATCCATATGTAGATTCTGAATTGAAGCTATGGCATTTTCCCATTCATTTAGATTATGAACAAATCCCTATTTCCCCATTGAAAGGCCAACATTTTCGCAAAATTCCCGCCGAGTTTCACGACTTCCAAAGATTCCGAATTGAAATCCCTCTGAAATTCCTATGAAAATATACAGTTATGGCCATTTACCAGTTATAACTGGTTATTTCTATGGGATTATACATTCTATAAATGGGGTTAGTTCAGTACTTATAACTGATAAATGGCCATGAAAACTGTAGGATTCCTTGGCGCATTTGCTTTTGCCCAACGACTTCCAAGGCGCTGTGCAGAGTTCTCAAGGCTCTGGTTGCTGGCACTGACGGTCGCTGTGATTTTAGGTCCTGTGGCTCGCCCAAGGAAAAACATGGAAGAAATCTATGGAGAAATTTGGAGAATGAAGAGAAATCCTGGAGGGGTTGAAGATGGGTCCAGTTAGCTCCCTTTGCAAATGATTCCATGGTAGGGATATAAAAGCATATGTAACCATTATCAAAAAGTGAAGTTGCCCATAATTCCAACATTTGGTACCTGAAAATGGTGATATATCTATCAACATTTTGTTTTTTGTTATGGGATTTATATAATTGGAATATAAAGAGATACAGCCAGCCCATCATTTTTATATGGGTGTAATATGGTCGACCATAAATGCATCGAAAAAAACTCAGAAAGATGAACGGAACAGGTGTTTGGGTTGCAATTCTTGTAGCGGGATTCGACTGGTTTCTATCTTTGTTTGGGTTGCTATCTACACACATTCAGGAAGGGGGCCCCCGAGATAGCAACGTTGGTGGACATACCATGAAATAACATGACATCACACTAGTTAGATGATGTAATATGACTACATTAGATGCAATCATAACATGAAAAAACTATAGTTGGTGGACATAACCAGTTCTAGTGGGTTACCTATATTAGATGTGGTTAGCTATAACCCACAACTGTAACTGGCAGAGCCCTTCCTTCAACAGGTGCAATAACATACAGCCAATTTTTTTGATCCCGATTCATAAGTAGATCCAATAGCTGATGTGTTCCACCAGGGACTTTTGTTTGTGGGGTATTAACATGAAATTGGACACGAATTGATCATGAAAGTGTGGATGGGACTTGCATTTCTTGTATCACTAATATGATGCCGCTGTACAACTTTGTAGATCAGGGGGCTCTCATTTGTGTTTTACCATACTCATACTCATATTCAAATGACCTAGAGGTCTTGATGCGGTATCACCACGGCAGCTAAAGTGTAACTATCAATCATTCGTCAGGTTGCAATGAAATTAAGCTATCGTGGTAGAATTCGACAAGAAATGCGGAACGTAAGCAGCATGGTCAGTGACACTGAGTCAGTGATGCACCTTCAAGGGATGCCTTGGGGATTTAGGATTGACTAGGGACTGCCTTCAAATGCAGTTTCGTCTTGAGACATTTGCGCCGCGCTGGAATACTTACTCACATAAAAACCCTAGGGTAAACCAACATAGACTATCATAGATGTGGAAAACTCGTGGTTTCCTTCGGAAAATGATTTGCATTCATGGTGTTTGCCTTCCACATGACAGGGGTACCTAAAGAAATGACCCAGTCATGGAGGTTTCCCAAGTCATCGGGGTACCCCCAGTCATCATCAATTTTAAGATTTGGAATTTTCCATCATAACCAGAATAGATGGTTTATTTCATGGGAAATCATGTATAAATGGCCATTGATAGTTGATTTACTTCCCAAAAATGTGATTTTCTATAGTCATCATCATTCATCTGGTTGGTGGTTTCAAACATTTTTTAATATATGGGATGTCGACAGGATGTCATCCTTCCCATTGACGAACTCATATTTTTCAAGATGGGTAAAACCACCAACCAGACATAAACCATCTATTTGTTTCAGATCCCCCCATTGATGGACACCCCCAAAGAGCAGACTCCGCGGTGTCACCCCTCACCTCGTCATCATAGATCTTCACAAGGTGGGACAACAACATCAAACAATTGTGGTTTAAAGAACAACTATGGTGATTTGTTTATGGATTTATGTGTGATTTTATGATAGCTAAGTTGGGTTCCAAAGTTTCAGCGAGCGGTGATTTCTATGGTTCCTGGTAGATACATTGAACCAGTTGGACCGATGCTTGGATCAGGATGGTCTGAAGTGAATTCGTGGTTCCACTAGCGGCAAGATTCATGCACTAATAAACTACATATGTTCAACCTAGGCTTGAATCATCCCCCTTGAGTCAGAGAAGTGGAGCTATAGATCCAAGAGATCCAAGTTGAGGACCCCGCTTCGAAGCAGAAATAGTGGTCATATCTGGTCACTGTATAGAGATATTATATATATATATTTAGGGACACAACTAGCATGCCAGGTATCAAAGATGAAACTCGTTTTTTCGTATTTTGGCATCCAATAAAAAAAACTGTAGAAGCATCTCTTGATACCCTCCACCAAAAAAACAGATATAGTTCCTGAAGTGGTTTGTACAGCGCCAATTTTCATGGCCATTCGAATAGTAAGGAAGATGATGCTCAAGCTTTGGACAATTCCCTGCTATCAGCCGCGCTTTCTAATAAGGTGGTTCATATTCCCATGAACTTGCGAAGATTCTGTTGTTGGCTTCGGAATATTCGTTTCTTTTGAGACCTTGCATGCATGTAGGACCCCCGAGTAATGTTTGTTGCTTTGTAAATCCATCCAATTACAGTGAGAATATACCATAAAACCATACTTGGCCTAGTGAACTAGACATAACTAGACTAACTTAGCTATCACAAATCAGCTCTAAATCACAAACAACAATATCATAGAATTGGATGATGGGAAAATTTACAGGAAAGCCCTATATTTGATGGTAAAAACAATGGTTTCCTTTCAATTTTCCCTTAAACCAATCCAGTGACAATATCAACAAAAACATGTTTTGTTGGTTAAACTATCATGTTTCCCAGTTGGATGATCCCCCAGATCCTCGCCATCAAAACTGGTCGGGGAGCTTTGCCAAGTTGTGAAATCATTTTGGATTATGATACTACTAAGAATAATGATCATGGGGAAATCCAATAATATGTTTATATATATATATATATATTTGATAATATACTAATACGAATAATAATACTAATAATAATGATCATCATCTTATTTCCCCAGTTATACACGTTGGTTTATAAACCCCATGCATTATACTAAAACAAAATCATAAACCATAGTGATTGGAGAAATAGAACAACTTAGCGATCGTTTGGGGGCCCCACTTTGTAGGCTTTGAGAAACTGATTGATATGTAGCAACTCCAAAATAGATAGTGAAAATCGAACGTAGAAATGATGAAGTGCATATCATCTTCTGTGGGAAACCCAATAATAAACCTACCATTTGGGGATCGTTTATACCACCCATAAAAATGGTGAGTTTGGTCATGGTTTATTAAATGGGGTTTACCACATTTTTGTATCCTGGATAAACTGGTATTTTTTTTAGGGAACCCCTATGGTTCCCATTTTTCGGCACCACCAGCGATTTGGATACTGCTGACAGGAAGATACAGAACCCTTTGATTATTTGACGTAGCAATGGAACATGGCCATATGTGATATAGAGGTGAATAACCTAAATATTGGTAATTTTCGGTGGCTATGTTAATTTAACAGAGGGTAAGTGAACAGGTCAAGGAATCCATTAAACACGCCAAAAAGTATTGAGAGTGCCACAATACAAATCATTTGTTTATTGTTGTCTTCCTGTGGGTATAATTATGTAAGGACGTATGGCCGACCAGCATCTGGCATAAAATCTAGAGACCCTCACCTGTTTTTTTCTATCTGACATTATATTCTGACATCACAAGCTTACAGGTTGCCGGCGATATCTGGAAGTAACAAGGACAAGGAGGGCAAGATGATCTGAACATCGCGCCATGCATTCCGCGCCCGACCCTGCTAAGCCGCAAGTGGGCGAAGCCTCGCAGGCGAGCTGTTTAGACTGGCCATCGAATGGCGCTGGTCCACTGGTAGGAAGCGCAGGCATACAGCCCATGCAGCACCTAAAACATGGCACGGCACGAGCAACTGATTTTCTTTGAGGCTGCGTGTAAATATTGCCATAACTTCACTTGGAACAAGCAACGCGCAACGCAATCATGTTTGAGTGACATGATTGGTTTCTATCACTGTGGTTTCCGATGGCGTGAGGCCCATCGGTGATTGATGTTTCCAGCAGGATTGTTGTTTCAATTTTCTTGAAAGCCGCTTCCACATTAGCCGCTTGCTTCCCCCCAACATTCAACATGAGCGTGTTCAAATTTGATCTCTTCCAGTGGGTCGTGCCTGGAATTCGGGGAAACCTTCATTTTTTGATGGTAGGGTCGCGGTTTTTTTGTCACCTTTTTGTGCGGTGGAGGTGTGAGATATGTTCAAACCACCTGCAATGTTTGTGGCCCCGCAATGCCACCAGGTCACCCAGAAAGCCTTGTTTGTAAGGTACTCATTGTGGCTGTCCGAGCGCAATCCGACAAAGCCGCCACTGGGAGCGGTCAGTTAAGTTGTATTGATTGTGGCGGCTGGTCTTCGCAACTCCCAAAGAGACAAGGATCCTTCTCTGCGTGTCCAAAAATATGACAGTGGCAGTTTGCCGCACACATACCCAAAAGTACCAAGTAAATCAACAGGATAATTGGATCAAACATAAAACTGGTGGAGCATCGTATATTTTCAGACAAAACCGTGTCGATGGCCATCAAAAAACTGTGAGCAGGTTCAGAGCAGGATCCAACAGCAATGAACCTTGAACGAATTTGTAGTTGACACGTGCATAAAAATTATGATTCCCAGTTGGATAATTTCAACTCTAGATGAAGGGGTTAATTTAAAGGTCATGAGTCATGTAGTTCACTCAGCAAATAGAAGTGTTCAAAAATCAGGGCTGTTGGTGAATATGAAGTTTGTTGGGATTTCTGACATGATGGACATACACATTGATACCCTCTCCCTTAATTCCAGTGCATGTAATTGTCCTTTCACTGGTCATATGTATCGTTTCCCCCACGCACTTCCCTGGTATTGTTTCTTCTCAAACTAGGACCTAACTGGTGGTTCATCCGACCTGGTAAATGGGTTGCAACCCCAGTTACATGTAACCAGCGTTATAATTGTAATAATCCACTGACTAACTGGCATGAACCACCAAGTAGTGTCGATATTTTCCAATGGACACCTCTGTAAACTCAGCAAGTTCCTGCATCTGAGGTGACCACCAGCAAACTCTGGTTGGAAAGGCAATACACGCAACTGCCGGAGAAGGTGAAAAGCAATTCCATTGGAGACGCCACCTTAGCTGCTGGATTTCTTATAGCCATATATTTTGTTTTTTGGTTATATTTTGTGTTTTCTTTGTGGATGTTTTTTTGTTGTGTATACCCCAAGCCTCCTGTTTAGTTTTTATGCCTGTCCATGGTGGATTTACCACACAACCCACGAAAAGTCAAACCACCTTAGCAGGGGATCAGCAAACCACCAAGGCCTTCATGATCGGCTACTCTCGGCAACAACGTTTGCAGGCGACAACATGCTAATCGAACCATTTGAACGGTCATGTCCATTCAAAAAGGTAGATGTCTTAGATGTTTATCTGTGCATATCATGTACATTTTCGTTTGAACTTTACATGTAAATATATACAGTATGTATATATATATATGCACATATTGTGCCTTTGTCAAAGCTTGGATGGGGGGACGGTCATCAGCCCTTGGTTTTTGCATGCATTTTTTTGGTTAAAATACCGCGCCAGGTCTCCATTGTGATTTACAATGATTTGCCCCATCATATCTTAAAACCCATTCCAATATGTAAAATGCATACATACATATGAATATATTGTTTATAACAGGGAATTAAACATGTTTAGACTTGCATAATTACGAGCATGTCATGTTCATGATTATGCAAGTGTTAGCATCTTTAATTCCCGCATATGTTTTGTTTTCTTCTGGCGTTCTTGTGGTGCACCATGGATACCTGGTAGATGCTATTCCTGTTGTTTTTTTCAACATATTCCATACATAGTCCATACATATCCCATACATATACATATATATGCCATACATACCCCATACATATTTGTTGATGTTGAAATCAGCATCGTATGTTTCTTCCATTTTGATGCAGCTATATATTTTACTGGTTCCTTTTGTACAGACACAGACAGACAGACATGCATGCATGCATGCATGCATGCCTGCATGCCTGCATACCTGCATACCTACATACCTACATACCTACATGCCTACATACCACCATACCTCCATACCTCCATACCTACATACCTACATACCTCCATACCTACATACCTACATACCTATACCTACATGCCTACATGCCTACATGCCTACATGCCTACATGCCTACATGCCTACATGCCTACATACCTACATACCTACATACCTACATACCTACATACCTACATACCTACATCCATCCATCCATGCATGCATGCATGCATACATACATCTCAGTTACAGCCATAACTAATATAACTGTAAATGTCCCATGCGTTACGTGAATATTCCCACACATACACCTTATATTCGGCCTTACGTATGATAGGTACCTCCAAGTCAGGTTCCTGAAATGGCCTTTGATATTTATGTCATATATACTTATAGTAATGTGTATATATATATATATATCCGTAGTAACATACCCAACGATTCAGAGCCATTGGGGTGGAGGCTTCCATCATGATTTGTCCCAATCTATCTTTTATATATATATATTATATTTACGTATGTAGATGTGCGGATGATGCATGTTCTTACATTTATAGCCATGAGCAGTCAGAAATAACCATAAGTATATGTAAAACAATGCCCATCTTTCTGTTCGATGTTCAGGTCATAGGTGTCCCAGAATCCCAGTTGTTGGTGCTTGTTTATTTGAGAGGTTATCCCCATTAAAGAACTAGTAACTAAGTGGTGATTTCTTAAAATGGAGGATACCCAAACCATTGGGTTTCAATACCAAAATGATCTAATCTTGGATGATTTGAACGGTACCCTTCTTTATTTAAAGGAAACCTCCGAGTGAAAAAAAGCATGTACCCAACCAACCCTTCACATTTCTGGTAGATTTCGATGTTCAGGCCTCCATCATGATTTTCCTCCATAATTCCTAGCCAATATAAACATCCATAAATGGCCATAAATAGCCAATAAATAACAATAAATAGGCATAAAAAGCCATAAATGTCGCTGTACATGTCCCCAGAATGTCTTCTATAGATCAGAGGCCTCCATCATCCTAAAGTTATAGCCATAAATAGCCATAAATGGCTATAAATAGCCATAAATAGCCATAAATATCCGATATCTCTGGTTCATTATATTGGTTTAAGGAAAAAACACCAGGAAACAATTGTGTTTCCTATGGAATATGGGGTTTTCCTGCAAATGTTCCCTTAAACCAATCCAATTTTCCTGGTAGATCTTCAGAGGCCTCCATCATCTTCAATTTATAGCCAATTCAGTGCCATAAATAGCCAATTTATAGCCGTTTGAGTGCCATAAATATATTAACCATTATTAACCATTATTAACCATAGATGAACCATAGATCAACCATAGATAAACCATAGATAGACACATCACAGCTGAGTGCCATAAATATCCCGAATCTCTCTGGTCAGAGGCTTCCATCATGGTGGACATTTGTTTCGGCTTGGTCTTTTGTGGCACCTTAACCTCCACCTATATCGCCACTACGGATTGGGCCAAAGCGCCCAAGGATTTCCGGCAGAGCCCCGGCGCGTAAAAAAAAAAACGTTTCGAAAGATCGGAGCAAACAATGAGTGATGGGATTTAGTAAATTTAGTGGATGGTTCAATTTTTCTTTGGGTTTTTTTTGGTGGAAAATCAAATTTTAGTGGAAAATCAATGTTTACCTTCAATTTGAGTGGAAGAAAAAACTATTTTTGGTGATGTTCACTGCAAATATGTATATATAAATATAACGATGTTTTGCTGGAAATTGACCAAATCTTCATCCAACTTCGATTTTTTGGGGAGAGGTTGTTTGTTAGTTCTTGTCGCGTCATAATATTTTATTGCCGTCATTATTATCACTATGATTAGGCATTGTCGTTACGTTGTCTTAGTCTTTGTCGTTGTCGTTGTCGTCGTTGTCGTTGTCGTTGTTGTTGTTGTGGTAGTAGTAGTAGTAGTAGTAGTAGTCGTAGTAGTAGTAGTAGTAGTAGTAGTAGTAGTAGTAGGTAGTAGTAGGTAGTAGTAGTAGTAGTAGGTAGTAGTAGGTAGTAGTAGGTAGTAGTAGGTAGTAGTAGGTAGTAGTAGGTAGTAGTAGGTAGTAGTAGGTAGTAGTAGGTAGTAGTAGGTAGTAGTAGGTAGTAGTAGGTAGTAGTAGGTAGTAGTAGGTAGTAGGAGGTAGTAGTAGGTAGTAGTAGGTAGTAGTAGGTAGTAGTAGGTAGTAGTAGGTAGTAGTCGGTAGTAGTCGGTAGTAGTCGGTAGTAGTCGGTAGTAGTAGGTAGTAGTAGGTAGTAG